AAGACACTAGAAGAAAAGACCTCCCACACTCATGAACTGGAAGAACTAATATTGTGAAAATGCCTACTACCAAAAGCAATCCACAGATTCAGTCATCCTGTCAAAATTCCAATGTCATTCTTCACAGAAGTAGAAAAGTGTCTTAACATTTGTATGGATGTACAAAAGACTCCCAAAAGCAAGGCAAACAAAAAGAATAATGCTCAAGTTATCCCGTACCTGATTTCAATTATACTACAGAGCCTTTCTCCTGCCTAATAAGAAAGTGACTTCAGACAGCCACCCCACAGCTTGTAAGTTTCTGGCTTTGAGACTAAGCACATCACACACTTCTGCTCTCCTGGTTCTGGTCACTCTACTGAGTTGACTTAGTTTGTGCTGGTCCTCCAGGAAAACCACTGCTGGGTGAAAAACACAAATGCTGTGTGTGAGATGTGTTCCCCTGAGTCCCACGTGTTGCGAGCAACCTTCAATGCAGCCGTATTAAGACATAGGACCATTAAGAGGGGATGAGCTCATGAGGCCATGGCCCTTACATGGACTAATAAGGGGTTGTTGAGGGAGTTCGTGATAAAAGGATGAGTGATCTCCCTCCCTCCCACCTGCTCTTTTTCTCTCTTTTCCATACCACCTTTCATCTTGGGTGAGTGCAGCAATAGGGTCCTGACAAAGTGCCAGAACTTTTATATTAGATTTCTCAGCCTACCAAGCTGTGAGAAATAAATTTTCCAGTCAGGGGTATCCTTTTATAACAATACGAGGTAGACAGACATTGTATAATAGTCCTCTGGATGGAGTCATTGAAGTTTGCACCCCAAATGTAGGGGGGCAGTGGATGCAGATGAACATTTGGCCTCATTGATGTGATTACTACCCTGTGGCCTATATTGACGTACTCATAGGACACTTCATTCCATTTCTATTGTTTGAAGCATACATCTACATCTCTGCGTACATGCACATGTATGTGTGTTCTTTATTGAGAGGGTGGTTAGATTTTAGGTCTGTGTTTCAATTTTCCCTTTAGTATTGCAACAGACAGATTTGATAAGCAGACCCTTGCCACCTCTACCCCAAGTCACCTGTCATGTGTTTCAATGGGAGCTTGCAGCCCACAGCAGGGAGGAGTCGTTTTAGTAGGGACTGTGTGTGTACAGTCATTCTGCGTCTTACTTGCTATCGGTAGCACTTGATGTGTTTCTTCCCCTTGTCTGTAAGGCTCTTCACATGCTTTGAGAAATGCTGGCTGGAATGACAATACACAGTATGGCCCTCCCCCTGGGTGGATTTGCTGAGCCTTTCAGGATTCTTGTGACCCTTTCTCAACCCAGCTTCTCTTGGTGAGGATGGCTTTATTTAAGCCCCTCTAAGAAACATTAGGAAATAACACAAACTATCATTTTTATTTTCCCACTGTGAACAGTTTTATGACTGTAGGCAAGGCAGTTCATCTCTTTAGGTTTCCCCTTTAAAAGAAAACCTGTGCAGTGATGGCCATTCTGTTATCTAGAGTCCTATGCTTATTCTAGACGGTTTCTAGAAACAGCAAGTACACCATTGTGCTTAGTGACAATTTTTTTTTCTGGAAAGAAAAATGTAAAAGTATGTGTTAGATGACTTTAAAAAAAGACTCATTTATTTATTTATTTATTTATTTATAATGTACATTGCTGTTTTGCCTGCATGTATGTCTGTGTGAGGGTGTCAGATCCCTGGAACTAGAGTTACAGACAGTTGTGAGCTGTGATGTGGGTGCTGGGAATTGAATCCCGGTCCTCTGGCAGATCAGCTAGTGCTGTTAACCACTGAGCTGTCTCTCTAGTCCCATCAGATGACATGTTAGATATTTAACCATATTTTAAGTCTTTTCTGTGGAAAAATAATCTGAATAAGCCACTTAATAGAACCAAATACTTCCTCCACAAATTTTAATATATTTACATCTGGTTATATTTTTGTGTGTTCAAGCATTTTCCTCTGTACAATTTTTGTACAAGAGACATATTCATAGTAACATAGAAGGATTAGATCCCCAAATTATAGCATTTAAAAAACAGATCAGCATCTTTATTCCTGTCAATTTAGTTGTTCTCTGCCTCTGAGTTTCTGGAAGGTCATATTTGTCTTCCCACAGTTCATCAGGCACCTCAGGGCAGATAGGTTGTGGGTTGAAGTGAAGTAGATGAACTTTCGTGGAACATGAGGACCTTGAAGCCTGCTGTCACCATGGCCAATGTTGAAACTTTTGACTCTGTGGACTTCAGATTTGGTCTTGCTTAGGCTGCTATGCATTGTGGGATATGACACAATAGCCTGAACACATCAAAGAACTGCCCTGTGTCACACTGATAAGCCTCAGTAAGAAAGTTTGCTTCTGCTGCTGGAGGTGAAGCAAATGTCTTAACTGACAGAACACCTGGGACTCTGGGTTCACAGTAAACCCAGTCTAAATCCACAAATAAGGAGTTTTTTTTTAATCTCACATAATATGAAGCCCAGGAGTAAGCCATTTCAAGGCTGGCTAACTCAGTGATTCCACAGATTTTAGAGCCCACTTTTAACTTTTTCAATTCCTTGATCTTTTTCTGGGTCATCCTCTTATGGTTGCTGGTGTTCTAGACATCACATTCTCACCTGTTTTCTTTGAGATGAAGAAAAATAGAGTTCTCTCTCTCTCTCTTTCTCTCTCTCTTTCTCTCTCTCTCTCTCTCTTTCCCCCCCCCCCAGAAAGTTATCAGGAGACCCCCTAAAACATGGCTAGCCGGAATGATGGTAGAAAGTATCCCTAAGCCAGTGACTGATTGGGGAGATAGAATTACTGTGGTTATATTATGTTAAGATTCAACTCCCAGCAGTTTATCAGGGCATCTCACTGAACTAATAAGTCGGAGTGTAAACAAGGTCAAAGTTCAGTTAAGCAACAATTGGAGTGAATGGTTGTGAAAGTGTACCCAATATTGGTCAGTACTAATTGCTACAAGCATTTTCTGCTTGAGTTGTGTGTCCATGTTTGTGTACGCTCATGTGCCTGTGTGAAGGTCAGAGGACAACATCTGGTGTCATTACTCAGGTGATGTCCACCTTGGTTTTTGAGACAAAACTCTCACTGACCAAGCAGGATGGGTTATTAGCTTGAACTCCTGTCTCTACCTTGCCAGTCCTGGGATTTCAAGCACAATCTACCAGTTTTGGTTGTTTTTCCGTGGACTCTGGCCTTGAATTCAGGTCCTCATGATTCTGAGCCATGCATCTAGTCCACATCTTCTGAGACATGCACAAGAAAAGATACTTTGTTTTGTACCCTACCTTCTCTGAAAAGCAGATAGGCACAGTCTGTACAAATAGTAGAAGTTATGGGTTCTTTGTAATACTGAAAAGAAACATTTTTTTCCCTTTTTGAGACAGGGTTTCTCCGTGTAACCCTGGCTGTCCTGGAACTAGCTCTATAGACTAGGCTAGCCTTGAACACAGAGATCTGCCTGTCTCTGCCTCCTGAGTGCTAGATTAAAGGTGTTTGCTGCCATGCCTTGCTTGAAAAGAAAAGCATTTTCCTTTGAGTAATATTTTTATTAATTATTTGGGAAGTTTGTACAATGCACCTCACCAATCATACTCACTTCCCTTTCCTCCCAAGTCCACCCTCCCACACTTGCACCCCTTTAAAAAAACAACAAAAACCCCACCCACCGAATTCAATTTGTGTTGTCCATATAATTCCTGGAGCATGGTCAGACTTCCAGTGGACAGCCCCTTAAAGAAAACTGAGTTGTGTGTTGACCTGTCTCCTTCCCACCAGAAGCCAACAGCTGTGAAGAGTTACATTTCAGCATCTTTATCAGTTTAAAGGACTCACTTCAGTAATTTCCTGTCTGAGCTGCTCCTTCCTTCCTTCCTTCCTTCCTTCCTTCCTTCCTTCCTTCCTTCCTTCCTTCCTCTCTCCCTTCCTTTCTTCATTGATGGGGGCGCGTTCACAGAAGCCTTCAATGTCTCTCATTCTTAGTTACGAGTCCGCAGTCACTGAAGCTATCTTGCCCAAGACAGTGGTGGCAGCATGGCTCACAGACATCAACACGCCCCAGTCTTTCAGCCAACAGAGAAAATGAATAGTAGCAAGGGCAGGCCTACCTGCTGCTGCTGAGTTCACACTTCTACCTTATGCTCTTCCTAGCTGGCACACTTGACTCTCGGGGCAGCACAGTGCTGAGGTAATGCTTTCTTATCTCAGACTATCAGGCCAGCCTCTTTCCTAGCTTCCTTACAACATTCCTTGTTGATAGTGGTGGCCACATGAAATTCTGGCCAATAAGTAAAAGTCCTCTGAATGTGGGGTTTCTGGGAACTGTTATTTTCATGACCAAGTGATAAGTGTTAGAAGATAGAAGGCTCTAAGGCACCTCCCCCTTCTTACTGTATGACAATATCAGGTGCTATAGTAGCTCTCTTGACAGCATGAGGTAATGAGCATGGGGTAAATCTTCATACTAGAGATCGGGAGAACAAAAGATTCTGAGTCATGAGACCAAGCCTAGAACTACCTACGTTCAGATTTCTGGCTGTGTGAGATCACTGAATGGCCCCATTGTTTAAGTGATTGAAGCTGGCTCTCCCATTGCATCTCAGTGTGCTGGTGGTAGAAAGGCACTGAACGCTGAACAATGTCTTGTAAGACCTTCACCTCTCTCCTCAGTAATGTGTTAGCTACGGGTTTAGGGAGACTGAGCAGGTGGACCACAGCTCTCACTTCCCAGCCCTCAGGGCCAAGTCAGATGATCCCATCCATCCTTACTTACTTTCCCCCTTTAGAATCACTTGAGTTTCTTTATTTTTTAAATCCAATTTGGTATTACTATTACTATCGCTATTATGTGTATATATGTATATATGCATGAGTATGTATCATACCATATCTGTGGAGATCAGGCGATGGTGGGAATCAATTCTCTTCTGCCATTCGAGTCCTGGGGCTTGAACTCAGGTCATCAGACTTGCTGGCAAGCACCTTTTCCTCCACTTGATTTTCTATTTCTTTTCTATATTGTTATGTTTTCTATCCTAACTAGATGTGAAAGCTTCAGGTCAGAGGCTGGACCCTTTCCCCTTCTGGCATCTATTCTTACACTGTGTGGAAAGAAGATTCTCAGTGGCTGAGACAAAATGAGTTCCAAGGCATCTTCCCTTTCCCTACAGCAACATAGAGAGAGGTAAGCATACATACTTTATCTTGGGAAGATACACATTCACTACCTTCTTGGTTTTTAATTTGAGAGCAGAAGACCTATGTGTCCTACAGAGATTTCTCCATGCTAATCACTAACACTGGGGTGGGATGTCCTTTGGATCTTGATTGCATAGTGGTATTTCCATTTCTGTACTGCTTAGATACATGGTTCTGGGGGTGTCTGTGATGGTTGGCTTGAAACTCCCTCCCACAGGTGTCAGTTTTGGGTGATTTTGTGATGATTCAGTCAAATGGCGCCTTTGATACATTTGTGTGTGCATGTGCTGGGGGAGTGGCGCTGGGGCCACCCCCACCCCAGCCCTACCTGTGTGCATCCTTATCTCCAGGACGGCATCTTGCTGGATTAATGTCATCATGGGCTTTGCCCTCATCCCAAAGCCTGCCCTGCTCATTCTTTCTCTGCAAGCACAAGAGCCTTTTGTGGGCCCCAAGATGTCATTCCAACACAGAGCTTTGTACCAGCAACTGTGGGTTCTCCTTAAGGTAACTGTGGGTGGCCCTCCATTTATTTTCCTGCTTCCTTTTTGTTTCTGTGAATTCTCCCCTCCAGCCCCTCCCTCCCCCAGCACATGCCGTCCGTGTCATCTGAATGGCCACTTAGAGGAAGGATCAGAAGTTTGTTGTTTCATTTCCAGCATAAATCAAAACTTTGTGTTCACGCTGTGATGTGACTGAGTCCAGGAATAGCTTTGGGATTGCTAAGTGTCTGGAGAGCACCGACTACAGACATGTTTTGAAGCTGGTCATAATAGTTGCTACAGCTGTTAACAGTTCCTGAAAGAATGGCAGCATTATCCACCAGGCCTGAAAATGTGCCGGGCTTGCATTGCATAGAAGTCACACTGGGATAGATGTGGATTTTTTTTCCCTTTCTGAAACCCAGCCATAAAAGTCTTCAATAACTAGAGAAATTCCTTTCACTGCTGAATCCAACATGAAGGACATTGTATTGTGACAATTCCGTATCACAGCCCATGAACGTTGTCTTTGTGTGAGTGGATGTACGGGCTGTACTGTTTTGTTTTTATTTATTCTGCATTCTTTATTCTAATGTCCTTTCCTTTTTCCTGACCAGAAAGATTGTTATTGAGCCCTTCACAAAGCTGAAATCCTTCAGTGTGTTAAAAAATGTTAACAATTCAAAGAAGTTATAAAAATTTATAAGTTGGCAGAATGCTTGGGAAATATCTGCATATTTTAATATAAATAGATAATGCAAATATTTGTTCATTGCATTGAGAGATGAGTCTCTGTTTTCCAAAAGGCCTTGCTATTTAAATTTGATTTATTTGATTACATTGAAATAAAGGGTGTCCATAGTGAATGAGGCCAAAGATGAAATGCCAGCATTGTGAACAAATGAGAGAAAGTAAGTTAACTATGTTGTTGCAGTGTGGAGCTAAACAAGTCCTTCCCAGCAGCGGGGTTGCTTTGCAGTTAGAATTCTCAGGAAGGTGACTTGCTCTTCATCATTGTTTTTGAGATTTCCAATGTGAGATGAAGGTTTGGTGTTTTAGAAGAGTGATTAGCTATCTGTCTCCCTCCCTCCTCCCCTGCCTTCCTTTTTTTTGTCACTTTTCCTGTCTCTTTAGAAAGTGAACTGACAAGGCTGGAGAGATGAGATGGCTCACTCGCAGGGTTACTCACCCGTAGTGTTACTTACCGCCAAATCTGATGACCCGAGCTTGATCCCCAGACCTACATGGTAGAAAGAGAGAACTGACCCCTGAAAGTTGTCCTCTGACCTCCATGCATACTTAGTAGTGTGCACAATTACATACACACACACACACACACACACACACACACGTGTAATTAAAATCTTTAAGTGTATTGGTGGAGTTAAGGTAAGCATGGGTTGGCTATATTGAGGGGAAAATCACATAAAGAAGAGTAGAGTAAAAATAGTTATCATATGTTTGTGGGGTGCTCTGCTTCATTTCTGTAGTCAAGATACACACATTTACAATGAGCCTGGGCCAAGGGTCTGTGTAGGAGGATTAGGATCTAGGGCTCTAGATCTTTCTCAAGTTCAAGTCAAAGTTGTCAGTGGAAACCTAGAACATGGTTGGCTCCACAGGACAACATACCAGATAGGTCTCCCCATCTGAGGGGAGACCCAGAATACTCTAGGGATCAGTCTGTAGGCCAGAGGCATCTGCAGGAAGCAGCTTCTTCCCCAGAGTTTGTGACCAATCAAGAGGGTTCCCTCAGGAGATGAATATAGACAATGGCTGATGAGGTGACTCTAGTTAAGACACAGGAGTTATAGGGCTCAGCTTTGATGCTCTCAAATTAAAAACCAAGAAAGTGTGAATGTGTGCCTTCAGAAGAACTCTGCAAAGTGCTAGTGAGTGGTCACATTCCCCAGACTGGTCACACCCCACTTCCCTCAGAGTGGTCACACCTCACATTCTCTAGAGTGGTCACACCCCACTTCCCTCAGAGTGGTCACACCTCACATTCCCCCAGGGTGGTCACACCCCACTTCCCTCAGAGTGGTTACACCCCACTTCCCCCAGAGTGGTCACACCCCACTTCCCTCAGAGTGGTCACACCTCACATTCCTCAGAGTGGTCACACCCCACTTCCCTCAGAGTGGTTACACCCCACTTCCCCCAGAGTGGTCACACCCCACTTCCCTCAGAGTGGTCACACCTCACATTCCCCCAGGGTGGTCACACCTCACTTCCCTCAGAGTGGTCACACCTCACATCCCCCAGAGTGGTCACACCCCATTTCCCTCAGAGTGGTCACACCTCACATTCTCTAGAGTGGTTCACACCTCACTTCCCTTAGAGTGGTCACACCTCATATCCCTCAGAGTGGTCACACCTCACATTCCCCCAGGGTGGTCACACCTCACATTCCCCCAGAGTGGTCACACCCCACTTCCCTCAGAGTAGTCACACCTCACATCCCCCAGAGTGGTTCACACCTCACTTCCCTTAGAGTGGTCACACCTCACATCCCCCAGAGTGGTCACACCTCACATCCCCCAGAGTGGTCACACCTCGCATTCTCCAGAGTGGTCACACCTCGCATTCTCCAGAGTGGTCACACCCCACTTCCCTTAGAGTGGTCACACCTCACATCCCCCAGAGTGGTCACACCTCACATCCCCCAGGGTGGTCACACCTCACTTCCCTCAGAGTGGTCACACCCCACTTCCCCCAGAGTGGTCACACCTCACATCCCTCAGAGTGGTCACACCTCACATTCCCCCAGAGTGGTCACACCTCACATCCCTCAGAGTGGTCACACCTCACATCCCCCAGAGTGGTCACACCCCACTTCCCCCAGAGTGGTCACACCTCACATTCCCAGAGTGGTCACACCTCACTTCCCTCAGAGTGGTCACACCTCACATCCCCAGAGTGGTTCCCACCTCACATTCCCCCAGAGTGGTCACACCTCACTTCCCTTAGAGTGGTCACACCTCGCATTCCCCCAGAGTGGTCACACCTCACATTCCCCAGAGTGGTCACACCCCACTTCCCTCAGAGTGGTCACACCTCACATCCCCCAGAGTGGTCACACCTCACATCCCCCAGAGTGGTTCACACCTCACTTCCCTCAGAGTGGTCATACCTCACATTCCCAGAGTGGTCACACCTCACTTCCCTCAGAGTGGTCACACCTCACATTCCCAGAGTGGTCACCCCTCACATCCCTCAGAGTGGTCACTCCTCACATTCCCCCAGAGTGGTCACACCCCATTTCCCTCAGAGTGGTCACACCTCACATCCCCAGAGTGGTCACACCTCACATCCCCAGAGTGGTCACACCTCGCATTCTCCAGCACTAACTTTACCTGCCAATGTCCCAGGGACAGGAGAGACCAAGAGGAGTAAGAGAAAAGGATGAAGGCTACACCCAGGACTGAGCAAGTCTATCCACACAAACATGCAAACTGTCTCACAATATCATCTGGACAGCCATTGGCTGCCATCCTACACTGTGGCCGAATCACTCTCATGCTATCCAGGGCCAGTATACAAGCTACTCATGGCCCACAGCTCTCTGAGGCTTGTGGAGGCCCAGTGCACCTGAGGAGTCTGTCCTTCCTTGGGAAAGAGGTTTAAAGGGGAATGACATTAGTAATGTCTCCCAGGGAGTACACAAAACAGACTTTTGCTGTCCTGAACTAAGAGGCCCCATTTGAAGGAGAAATAACTTCAACAGTGGAAGGCTTACAGTGTGCCAGGCATTGGAGATCTTGCTTAAAAAGTATTGGCAGAACTGAGCCTGTGGCACATGTCTGTTATGGGGAGGTTGAAGCAGGAACATTGAAAACTAGTGGCTAACCTAAATTACACAAAGAGAGCCTGTCTCAAGAAAAAACAACATGGCCCTAGAGAGATGGCTCTGTGGTTAAGAGTATTTATTGCTCTTGCAGAGGACCCAGGTTTGGTTTCTAGCACCCACATGGTGGCTCACAACCATCTGTAACTCCAGTTCCAGAAGACCTGGACTCCTTTTTATGACTTCTGAGGACACCAGGTATGCACGTAGTACAGGCAAAACCCTCATACCCATAAAATAAGCAAAATTTTTAAAAGGTGAAAAACCAGCTGCAGCATAAACAACAGAAGGAATTTTCAAATAACCCAAGGAAAGATGGAGCATAAGCAGGAGGTGGCCAGGTAGCATATATGGAAACTATTTTAGTCCTGTTATTTTCAGTTCCCTGGCTGTTGCTGATACCTTGCTCTGGACTGTTCTCGTCTCCGTAGTCTTTGTGATCTCCAATGAAAGAATTCCAAGAAGACATACTGAGTAAAGTATAGCACAAGCTCTTGGAGAGGAGCCAGATTGTAAAATTCTTCTTGTGAAAGAGAGTATCTATACAAATGTAAACAAATACTTAAGAGTATCTGAAATCATGCATCCATATGGAGTCTCAAATGCTATCAAATGCCTGTGTATGTTCATGTTTGTGTGTGTGTGTGTGTGTGTGTG